CATAACCTTGTGCAACTAGTCTAGCTTTGTATAGAGTATTGCCTCCCTCTAAGTTCTTAATTTTATATATCCACCTGGTACCAATAATTGTTTTTATCCTTAGGTGCAATTGCAGGTGTAAATACATTTAATCCTTGTAAACTTTCCATCTCTTTTTTCATCGCTAATTCCCATTTTTCCTTTTCTTCACGAGGGAGTTTTAACACTTCCTCATATGTATTGGGTGTTGTTGGCTCACCATCCATATGCATTATGTAATCTTTGTATTTATTTGGCATTTGATTTCTGGTGTTTCTAATGGTTTTTTCAGGTTTACTATCGTTATCATGCAAATATCTTGCTTCCTTTTTTGTTAATGTGTCTGTCTTAATTTTGTGTTGGCTATTTGTCCAAATTTTGGTTTTGTTCTTATTTTTGTTGATATTTTGCTTTTCTATGATCCCTTCTTCATGAGATTTTGTACCTTTATATTTATTTGGAAATATTTCATTAAGATGTAATTTAGACCAGTTAGCCTGTTCATGGAACACAGCTGTTCTGGAGACTATAAATTTGTTATTGTTATCAATGAATCTGTACCCTTTAGTACCGGTTTCATATCCCATAAATCTGAGTCTTCTGGATACGTTTTCTCCCTTTCTTCTTAATTGTTTAGGTATGTGTACGTCTGCAGTGACTCCAAATATATGCATGTGTGCTAATTTTGGTTTTCTATTATATATCACTTCATATGGTGTCTTATTTACAATGCTGGACCATGTTCTATTTTGTGTGTAATTTGAATAATGTAAGGCTTCTGACCAGAATTGTTTGCTTAAGCCAGCATCTTCCAATGTGCATCTAATCATGGTTTGTAATGTGGAATTTTTCCTCTCTGCAATCCCGTTCTGGAACGCAGAAAATGGACTAGATGTGTAATGTAACATTCCTTTGTCTTTTAACCATTGGGAGAATTCTTTAGACATGAATTCGCATCCCCTATCTGTCATAATTTGTTTTATTTTGATGTTGTGTTGTGTTTCTATGCGTTTGTAAAATTCTTTAAATTTTTGAAATGTTTCATCTTTGTGTTTTAATGTATAAACAAACCCATAGCGGCTATAATCGTCCACTATTGTTAGGAAGTAACGTTTTCTATAAGTGATTGATGGAGTTAATGGACCAACTAAGTCCATGTGTACTAAATCAAAAATTTTGTTAGTTGATCTAGTAGATTTTCTTGGCCTGGGGCTAGTTTTTAGTTTTGTAGATTTACATACTGAGCATTCCAAATAGTTTTCACAATTTTTTATTTTAACACCTTCTGCGTGTTCAGTCATTTTTTGTACTACAGGAAAACTGGCATGTCCTAACTTCCTATGTAAGATGTGAGCACACTCATCATGAATTGGCTTACCTATTTTTGGTTTTTTTTTCATTGTGTGCATCTTTGTGATCATGAGATGTTTTACACTCATCATTGTCACTATTGCTAATATTTTCATCATCTACTTCAATACAATCTTCCATATTTGAGTCAATGTTATGCAACCATTTTTCCTTAGTTATCAGATAAGGTAGGCCTCCTTTAATCATCACTGTGCCTATATTTATTTTATTCTTCTCCAAAATCGCTTTTCCTTTTGAAAAAACAATGTTAATGTCAGAATCTCTACTTAGTTTTATAGCACTTAGTATGTATTAGAGGTATCTCAGGTATTAGCAATACCCCCTCTATTTTTCCTAGACCAGGCAAGGTTACATTCCCTCTACCTAATACTTGCACCTTTTCTTGGTTAGCTACCTTTATTACAAATTTATCTTCTGCAAATGAAGACAATATATTTTTGTTATTAGTGGTGTGATTAGTTGCTCCAGAATCAATAAGCCAATTATTGTTCTCATTTTGCTGTATGTTAGTGTTGTCTTGTTTATTTAGCCCGTTCAGTGAGCCAGATTTTCTATCCTTTGAATTATCTCTGCCCCCTCTATTCTCTTTGTAATTTGGTGGGCTCCTATATCTATGTTTATCTATGGAAGACTGTCTATAATTGTATTTGTTTCTATATTCTGACCTATGCCTTTCTCTTGAAATTTTGGGACAGTCTCTTCTATTGTGTTCCCTGGATCCACAATTGTGGCATTTAAATGTTTCATTATATTTTTCTTGGAAAGCTACTTTCCTATATGGTTTGTGTTCTGTGTGATTGCTAGAACGATTCCTTCTTGAATTGTCTTCTGCTATCAGTTTATTGGATAGACTTTCTATGGATAAATATCCTAGATTGATAGTGTCTAAATGTGACATAAAATTGTCCCATGATGAATCAAGTGAGTTGATAATAACACTTTCATTGTTTGGTCTGAAATCACCTCCCCCCTCAAATGCAGCTCAGCTCTTATTTTGTTTAAATATATTAAATGCTCACTTATGGAAACCCCTGGTTTTACCCTAGATGAAAAGAAATCTTTAGACATCCTTGTGGTGGTAGCTACACTGTCACTGTGAAATAAATTAAACATGCATTGAATGATTTCTGAAACAGTCAGATTTGGCTTAATGCTATGATACATTGCAGGAGACACACTAGATATTATTAAGAAAAATGCTCTATGGTGTAAACAATCTATTTTTAGAGTCCAAGGTCTTTTTGGGGGACTAGTGATAAAAAATAATAAGTTTTCCTTCATAAAGACAACCTGGAGCTGTTGATACCATTCTTGCAAATTAACGCCATCAACCCTTAGCTTTGGGAAGTCACTGGGTAAATTTCCGACATTATTGTGTCCATTACTTACAACCTGAGGTAGTCCGTGGTCTCGCAAGTGTAGAAAATTGCAAAACGGCATGGGGATGCTCGCAACGAGTCTGCATGGTCTCCTCGCCAGTTCATGTCTTCCCGGACCGTCTGCGTAGTTTTGCGCATGCGCGTTGTCCATTTCTTCTTTGGAGTCATCGTGGAAGGTTCTCTCCATTGTGGCTCGCTCGTTCTGCTCCTCTTCAGATGAATCGGTCTCTGGTTCAATTTTGGGAGTCTTGACGACGGCGGCTGCTCTTCCTCTTCCCCTGAGGGCTTTGGTGCTTGCTTCGGTTTGTGGCGTAGGGCGGTACCGGCAGGGCTCTCTGGGTTCGGGCGTCGGCGTTCTCGTAGTCAGGATGGGAGCGGGCAGGTCTTGAGGCATCGGCTTGCTCGCTCGCTTCTTCGGTAGCTGTTTGTTAATTTTTAGTTTTGGCCCAAATGCAGCAAAAAGCGTTTTCATTGCTGATTTTATTTGGGAGTTTGTTGAATCATCTTCACTTTCTGATTCTGATTCTTCTGAGGAGTTTGAATCTTCTTTTTCATTTTCGTTGTTTGGTAACGTTTTTCGCGCCAGAAATTTTGAATTGAGCATTTTGATTGGCTCTGCTTCGCTCACCCTGGAGGCCTGTTGAAACCAAGATGGCTGCCATTCAAAATTTCGCGCGGGATCACCGTTTTTCTTCTTCGTAATGACTTTCTCTGCAGTCATATCACTCACTATTTTGGGGTCTTTAGACTTTTCATTAGTGATGTTTTTCTCTCTCGCTGCTCCGCTGTTCTTCAGCATATCTTGGAGTTTCGCGATGAGGCTTTCATCATTCTTCTGGCTCTTTAATAGTTTTAATATCTCTGACCTGAGTTCGTTATTCTCTATTTCGATTTCCTTCTGGTCATCAATTTCATCTATTATTTCTTCGTCTTCAGTGGTGTATTCTTCGGATTCTCTCGAAATTGCGTTTGTGGATTCGTTGATTATTTCTTGTTCTGTTTCCATTTCTTTGCTGTAGGCCCTGGTGTTGGGCCTATCTTTCTTAGACATTTTTAAGTTTTTTTTATTGAGTCAATTAACCATCCTCTGCTACCAGCTTGTTGCAATATTTCAATAATATTAGTAAGAGTTAAAGGTTTAAATATATTTCCTTTTATTTACAATAGGCATTCTATATTCACTGAATATTCACAGATAGAAGCGAGGAAAAGGGTGTAGGTGGCTCCTTATATATACAATGGGTGGAGCTATAAGTGGGAGTGGTGAATTATGAATACATTAAGAAGTGAAGAATAAGTTAACCCCTGATACCCCGTTCATATATTATTTACACATTAGAGAATAAGGCATTTACATCTGACATTCTTTCTTTTTTATCATTCAACAGTCATTAAGAAGGAAGACTTGGCCATTAGATAATTCCTGATTTGATGGCTATACCAAAGACATCAAGAAATGGAGCAATGGGATGGGGGGTGGGTGGGCTGAGAGAAGCCATCAGCAGGGAGGGAAGGGGGCAGGGGGAGGAATTGTGCTGGTGGGTTCCAGAATAGAAGGATGCCCAAATCAACCTTCTCCTTCAGAGCCCCATTTCAAGCCCAAGATACAGGCCAAATCCAAAGAGTTGGTCCGGAGAAAGTCTCTCCAACTCTGAACATCTGCTGAAACCCAAAAGCTTATCCAAGGAGACAATAAATAACTAGTTTTGCTAAGAAATTCTGTGTGCTTGTACCCTTGCTTTCGTGCATTCTCTTTTCTCAATAAACTCCCTTTTCATATTTAAACTTTATTAGTTTAATGCAGAGTTTCCATTAAAACATCCCTTATGTGCAGAATTAGAGTTACCTAGCTACTCATTAATCAGAGTCTGATAGCATCCTCTCAGACTAACATGTTTGATTAAAAGGCAAGCAACACAATATCATTAATAGGAGAAGGGCAAGCACACCTTGTTTCACCCCTTTAGAGATATTGAAGTTATCTGTCAGGTATACCATGCAAGACTGGTGGCCCACAGGATAGATGCATCATGTGCAGGCCACACACACCCAAGCTCCGCGAAGGGAAAATAACACTGTGATTTCATGTGATGGCAATGTGACACGGCGAGCTTGACACTTGCCTAGAGTAAATCTAATCTGAATTTGATTATTTGTATATAATGCCATGATTAAAATCAATTACTTTTTTTTCAAATTCAACCATCTAAGTTAATCTACAGCTTGTTTCTATTGGTAGGATCAAAAGCTGCATGAATTAGTCACAAAGGAAATAATTTTCTATTGTCATGCTATTTATGAAATGATCCAATATAAAACCATGGTCAACTGTGGAGAATCCCTGCCTGTGACTCTGCAAACACATTGTTATCAATGAGCCAGACCTTTAATTTATTGACTAGATGTTTTGCATAAATATTGCCCCTGACATTAATCAGGCTAATTGGTTTATATTTTTTTGCATATTGAGAACACTATGCCTGTGTTGCAGCCCTGGAGAAGTTGACCAGAGGAGTTACAAGTTTAACCAAAATAGACTTTCACCAAACAGTATGTCTCTTTAAAAAACTGACTCTCTAATCTTGGCTTTGTCTTTAGACACAGATCCAAGAGGTGATAATGTCCCTGGAGATGATTCTCTTCTGGGGGGGAGGGGGGCTTGCCTGAGGGCAAAGCCAGGATAGGGACTTGACAGGGGACCAGGGTGCTAAGTACAGGGTAATGTACACTAAGATGTACATTCATTGGAGAATTAGCAGGAATGGGTTAGGAAGCAAACTAACTAGTATAAAAATTCTCCCATTTCTTCTTTAGAAAGCTCTTGTTTTCACCTCAACGGATGTTTACCACTTCTTTCCTTTCTTCCTAAGGAGTTCTGTGACAACCCATGAGGAGTAACTTCTTTGGTTTTCCTTGCCAAATTCCTAGCCATACAATGTGCTGTTCTACATTCTAGGCAGTAATCCAGCCTTATGGATGCCCTTCCCCTCTCTCAAGTTGTGTGCACGGGTGTGAGAGAGGGAGGGGGTGACTTTGAGGATACAGCTTTGGTAGGAAACAGGTGTCCAATGCTAGAAGCCTTAACTTCTTTTCTCTTTCCAGATTCAATACCGGGGACTATTTCAAATGATCCTCGTGCTGGGAATCGGGGGCAGTTTCCCTTATGGGTTTCACATTTCTGTAATAAACTATCCCTCCCTGGTAAGTGATAGTATCCCTTTTCTATGGGCATTTCCTTCAGTTCAAACGTTGATGCTTTAGCCAGGGGCAGAGAAGGTTCACCATCTTGGAGTTCCAGGACCTGTGGTGCCCAGTGTGGTGGGGTGGCTGGGACGTTGTGCTGGGGTGGCTGATAGGTAAACTCATGGGGAAAAGTGAAAAAAATCATTGTAAAATGAATGCATTTTCTTTATCCACAGCATATTAAAAAATTCATTAATGAGACCTGGCTGGAACGACATGGCTCACCACTGCCTCAAGAGAATGTTATCTTGTTATGGTCCTTCATAGTATCCAGTTACGGGATTGGAGGTCTCGTAGGGAGTGTCTGTTGTGGATACCTCACCACAAAATATAGAAAGTAACTTCTTCACTAGTTAGATCTGTCTATAGTATGGCCCTTATCTGTTATCTCCAAGTATCAAATGTTCAAAATGTTTGAAACTCTATATTGATTATAGCCCTTTGGCACCCTGTTCAGGGTGTTCACATGGTACCGCCAAACTAAAAGTCAAGATGATGGATACAATGCTGCCCTCCATTGTGCTTTGCTGAGAAACCCCTGGAAATGCCTCTCCCTCACTGCCCCCTCTTTTGTTGCAGAAAGAAGTGCCAGATGTTCACCAACCTGATCATGCTGACTGCTGCCCTGTTCATGGGTTTCAGCAAGATGGCCAAATCTTTTGAGATGATCCTCCTTGGACGCCTCCTATATGGGATTGGCATTGGTAGCTATATGGGATTGGCATTGGTAGCTATATGGGATTGGCACTGGTAGCTGTTGGCTGTCTTATAACTGTGAGCAAGTCTATTGACTCAGCACGGGCAAAGTTCTGCTGTGATCAAATGTTCTAGAGGAGAGGCTGATTCAAGAGTGGTTAACTCAGAGCCCTCCTTGGCACAGGCCTCTCCCGCTCTCTTTCTCCCCTTCATATTCGCCTAGTGTCATTGTAATCCTTCTCACTCAGCTACCCATAACTCAGTAATGCCTCTCTGCAATATAAGATGGTTTTAATGACATGACATCTTAGATGACATGCTGGCCAATTTTTCAATACTCTTCTTTGTAACCCTTTTCCTTTCTGAAGGATTTTCTTTCAATATACATCCTCAATATGTGGGAGAGATTTCGCCAAAGAAGTTGCGGGGATTTACAAATGCAACAGTCGCTGTTTTTCTGACATTAGGCAAAGTTGCAGGACAAATCATTGGTCTTGGGTAAGTCCCTTTCCAAAACACACTCAGTGAAAGTCATTTAAATCACCAGATGTCTGAAGTGAACACTTAATTTAAGCTTTAATTTAAAAAAGTTTTCATTTCAGTTGAAACTGGAGCATTTGGCTTTGAACCTGAAGTTGTGAAAATATTATGATATGAATATTAACTTGATAATTGCTGTGCAATAGAAATCTGATCAACCATCTTTTTTCCTCTAAAAATAAATAATACACATACAGATGAGGCAAAATAGTTTGAATGTTATAATAAACTTAGGAACATAAATTGTAGAATCTCAAGTTTCCCATTTTCTTGGATGCAATTTCATTCCACAGAATTTCAAATAGGCCAAACAATGTGGTCTTGTATTGCATACAATAAGAGTGATTTTCCAGTGGAAAGGAAAACCTCAAATCTTATTCCCATCTTTTAAAATAGAATAGAATTCTTTATTGGCCAAGTATGACTGGACACACAAGGAATTTGTCTTGGTGCATACACTCTCAGTGTACATAAAAGAAAAGATACGTTTGACAAGAATCTTAACATTACCATTAACAACACTTAATGATAGTCATAGGAAACAAATAAGCAATCAAATCATATTAAGAAAGTCAAAAAGCCGAAATAAGAATCGACCAAACCGAAAAGAAATTAGATACTGTGGACCAAGCATTTACAAGTCAAAACAGAGAGTTAGAGGATTCGATAATCCAATTAGAGATGGACCGGGCATCCTTCTACTTGCGTTTCCAAAATATTGTTGAGGATAAAGAGGAAAACCTGGGCGAGAAGATGGCGGAGCTGATAGCAGATGTACTTCAACAAGATAAACAGGAGATAATTAGAGAGTTGGACGACGTATACAGGGTCCAGACAAATTATGCAAGAAGGAACAAGCTCCCTAGGGAAGTGCATGTCCGCTTTGCAAGGAAAAAAGTAAAAGACATCCTATACAACATGACAAGAGAGGAACAGATAACATATAGAGGAAAAGAAGTAATAATCCTAAAACAGATACCAAGAAGAGTACGGGAGCTGAGAAAGGAGTATAGATTTTTAGCTGTACAGTTGAATAAAAGAAATATATTATTCAGGTGGCTCTTACCAGAAGGGATGTTAATTACTTGGCAAGGAAGAAAAATAAAAATAGAAAGCCTGAGTACAGCACAAGACTTCCTTGACCAGTTGAGAGGTGTGGAGGAAGAGCAGGGTAGCAAAGAAGAACTAGAGACAGTAGCAGTGGAAGAGGAAGCCTTACACCAACAGAACACGAAGGAAGCAACTGCGGAGGAGAAGAAGACAGAAGAAGAAGCCAAAGGGAAAAAAGCAAGACCAGTAAGAGCCGTACGAACAAACAAAAACTGATAACCAGACAAGGAAATAGGGATGAATGATTTGAAATTAATATCTGTAAATGTCAATGGCTTAAATGACTACAAAAAGAGAAAATGAATATTAACAAAACTAGGTAAACAAAATGTTGATATAATGTGTCTACAAGAGGTGCACATAAAAAAAGAAGAGGGTAAATGTTTAGAATATAAAACATTTGGCAAAGAAAAAGAAGAGGGGGGTGGTAATCTATGTAAAGAAAGGAATTGAAGCAGAGCAAAAGTTTAAAGATACAAAGGGCAGAATTCTTATGATTGAAATTAAGAGAGGGAACTCCAAGGTATTATTAGTGGGTATATATGTTCCAAATAAAAAACAGGGAGAATTTTTTAAGAAACTTCATGAACAATTAGTAAAAATGGAATATAATGAAATTTGTATAATAGGGGATTTTAATGGCATTGTGGATTTGGAGAAGGATTATAAAAGTAATAAATAAAATGAAATAAATAAATAAATAATTTTATTTCTATACCGCCCTTCTCCCGAAGGACTCAGGGCGGTGTACAGTCAATTTAAAAACACAAGACACAACAATGATTAAAAATTAAAATAATTAAATAAATTTGGCCGGATTAAAACCCCAAAAATTTAAAATACCCCAATTAAAATTATTATGTTGATAGCCCGGCCTGGCGGAACAACAGGGTCTTCAATGCGCAACGAAACACCCGGAGGTCGGAGATCTTACATATTTCCGGGGGCAGTTCATTCCACAGGGCTGGGGCTCCCACAGAGAAGGCCCTCCCCCTGGGTGTCACCAGCCGACATAACCTGGCTGATGGCACCCTGAGGAGACCCACTCTGTGGGAGCGGACTGGTCAGTGAGAGGCTATTGGTGGCAGAAGACGGTCTCGAAGGTACCTGGGTCCTATGCCATGGAGTGCTTTAAAGGTGGTAACCAACACCTTGAATCGCACCCGGAAGACCACTGGGAGCCAGTGCAGCTCGCGCAGGAGGGGTGTCACGTGGGCACAACGGGTTGCGCCCATAACCACCCGCGTGGCCGCATTCTGGACCAGTTGGAGCCTCCGAGTGCTCTTCAAGGGGAGCCCCATGTAGAGAGCATTACAATAGTCCAGCCGGGAGGTGACAAGGGCATGAGTGACCGTGCGCAAGGCGTCCCGGTCCAGAAAGGGCTGCAACTGGCGGATCAGGCAAACCTGATAAAAGGCCCCCCTGGCCACGGCCGTCATGTGCTCTTCTAAAGACAGCCGTGCGTCCAGGACACCCAGATTGCGAGCCCTCTCTGTGGGGGGCGAAGATTCACCCCCAATAGTCAGCGATGGCACCTGCTGACTATATTGGGACGCCAGCAGCCACAGCCACTCGGTCTTGGACGGGTTGAGTCTGAGCCTGTTCCTCCCCATCCAGACCCGCACGGCCTCCAGGCAGCGAGACATCACATCAAGGGCATCGTTGGGGTGGTCTGGGGTGGAGATGTACAGCTGAGTATCATCAGCGTACAGATGACACTTCACCCCAAAACCACGGATGATCTCACCCAGCGGCTTCACATAAATGTTGAACAGAAGGGGCGAGAGGACCGACCACTGTGGCACTCCCCATGCGAGACGCCTCGAGGTCGACCTCTGCCCCCCTGCCAACACGAACTGCGAGCGGTCGGAGAGGAAGGAGGAGAACCACCGCAGAATGGTGCCCCCTATTCCTAACCCTCTCAACCGCTGCAGCATGATACCATGGTCGATGGTATCAAAAGCCGCTGAGAGATCTAATAGGACTAGAACAGAGGAGCAACCCCTGTCCCGAGCCCTCCAGAGATCATCCACCAATGCGACCAATGCTGTTTCTGTGCTATGCCCCTGCCTGAAGCCCGACTGGCACGGGTCTAGATAGATAGCTTCATCCAGGTGCCTGGGCAGTTGTCGTGCCACCACACTCTCGACAACCTTCGCCACAAAACGAAGGTTGGAGACCGGACGGTAGTTAGCTAATTCAGCCGGGTCCAGGGAAGGCTTCTTGAGGAGGGGCCTCACCACTGCCTCTTTCAAGGCAGCGGGAAAGGCGCCCTCACTCAGAGAAGCAGTTATAATCCCCTGGAGCCAGCCTCATGTAACCTCCCGGGAGGCCAGTACCAACCAGGAGGGACACGGGTCCAATAAACATGTGGTGGCACTAATCCTACCCAGAACCCTATCCACATCCTCGGGAGCCACAGGATCAAACTCCTCCCAGATAATATTCTCAAGACCTGCCCCTGTCTCCTCCCCTGGACTCATCCAATCGGAGTCTAAGCCATCCCGAATCCAAGCGACTTTATCATGCAGGAATTGCACAAAATCCTCAGGGCGGCCCTGCAAGGGATCTTCCCGCACTCCCCCCCCCGATGAAGGGAGCGGGTCACCCTAAACAGGGCGGCTGGGCGGTTCTCTGCAGATGCGATAAGAGCGGGAAAATGGTTAGATTTCACCGCTTTTATCGCCACTAGGTAGGTCTTGATATAAGACCTCACCTGTGTCCAGTCGGAATCGGATTGACTAGTCCTTCAAATGCTCTCTAGGCGTCTTTTCCGACGCTTCATCTCTCTCAGCTCCTCAGAGAACCAAGGAGCCAATTGAGATCGGCATCGGGTCAGAGGCTGCAAAGGCACGATGCGGTCCAAAGCTCCGGCAGCCGCACTCTCCCAGGCGGCCACCAGCTCTTCAGTCGAGTCGTGTGTTAGAGTCTCAGGAAACGGCCCAAGCTCCGTCAGGAAACTTTCGGGGTCCATCAGGCGCCTGGGACGGAACCATTTGATCGGTTCCGTCTCCCTGCGGCGGGGGAAAACGGTAGGAAAGTCTAAGTGAAGGAGCGAATGATCTGTCCATGACAAGGGTTTGATGTCTAGGTCCCCCCTACCAAGATCATTCAACCACTGACCAGAGACAAAAATCAGGTCCAGAGTGTGTCCCCCTATGTGAGTTGGGCCTTGAACTAACTGGGTCAGGTCCATGGTCGTCATGGAAGCTATGAACTCCCGAGCCACCTCTGACGCCTCACCCGCAGACGGAAGGTTGAAATCCCCCATGATAATAAGTGTTAGGGTGTGTGTAAAAAGTATTTGTTGCTTGTGCAACAAGCAGAGCAGAAACACACAGGGAAGGAGATAAACGTGCGGCTTGTGTGAGAAAAATACTTTATAGATAAGTCTGGGGGTATCAACCGCCACCCTGGCAATGACGTCGAGTAGCTCGGGCAGGGTCGCTGCCACGTGGCAGGGAGCCAGGTACACAGTCAGCAAACCCATCTGCACCCCACGGCCCCACTTCACAAAGAGGGACTCACATCCGGCTATCTGAGGAACAGTGGTCTCCCTCGGACAAAGACTCTCCCTAATAATCACCGCCACTCCCTCACCCCTCCCCTGGGCCCTTGGCTGATGAAATGCACGGAAACCTGGTGGGCACATCTCAACGAGGGGAACCCCCCCTCTTGGCCCAACCAGGTCTCCGTAATACCTGCCAGGTCCGCACCCCCCTCTAAAATAAGATCACAAATGAGGGGGGCTTTATTAACGACCGACCTGGCATTACACAACATCAGCTGCGGACCCTGGGCCTGAGACTCTGCCCAACCCAGGACACGAGTCACGTATTGGGGGCCGA